AAAAAATTTTCATAATTATTTATATAATGTATTATTAAATAAATAAATATTAATTTAAACGTATTTATAAATAAAAAAAGTTAAGCAATGTTAACTTTTTAATTAAGGGGAGGAGAACAGAGAGAAAATATTTTTAACTAATAAATTATAATAAAAATATATAATTAATGTAACATTATATAAATTATCGATTCAATTATTTTTGTTAATAATACTTGAGATAATATTAAAGAAAAAAATAATATTATATAATTTAAATTGTATTAAATTGTATAATATTAATTATTAAATAAAAATTAAGACCTTAAAATTAAAATTTTATTTTATTTAATAATTTTTATTTTATAATTTAATAGAATATAAATGTAAAACATAATTTTTATAATAAAATTAAAATAAAAAAGATTTCATAAGTCCGTAAAAGAGACTAATATTTTCAAAATATTAAAAAAGACTACATATAAAAGGGAAAATATTTATAAAAAAAAAACTATTAAAAAGAAAAAGAAAAAGATGGCCCAAAAAAAAAAAAGGAGAAAATATTAAAATAAGTTTCTGCTATTAACAATGATCCCCTCGTCGTCCGTCACTATAAAAGACGAACACGGAACGCTGCAACCGTGAAGTTTCCGGCTGCATTCGTCTCTCTCGTTAAGAAATCCAACTTAATCTTCACAACCCAGGAAAAAGATGAACATTTTCAGCAAAAAACCCAATCCCAAAGGTAATAATTGATCAAATCCTTCTATAATTCGTCGGTTTAATTGTTTCATTCGATTGTTTAATCAAAATTTTCAATCTTTCTATTTTTTTCTGAATTTTTTTTTTTTATAATCTAAATTCCATTTGGAACGATCTTATTCTGCATGATTTGGTTATTTCTTCAGTTCTTACAATTTGGGTTGACCCATCTAAGTTTTTGTAGTCTGGGTTTTTAATTTACCTGTCTCGGCATCTCTGTGTTGCAGAGGCTCTTCGGGAGAGCAAGAGAGACATGGCTCATGCTACAAGAGGTGACTTTTTTTTTTTCAGAATTTGAGTTTTGCCATTTCATTTAGCATTGACATACCTGTTTTGATATGATCCTCTTTTGGGGCTTTATGGTTTGATGAAATGAACCTTCCCATGATTCATACTCATGGTTGCCTAGTAAATTCTTGTGAAATGGAATAATGTGTTTGAATATTGTTGGGTGCCTTCTGCTTTGCGTAGCTAGCTAGGGTGAGTAGCAGTCACCATGGGATAGATATATATGTGTTGAAGTGAAGCTCTGCTGTTTCTGTTGTTTTCTATATATCATTTTTACCTTACTAAATTGTTAATTTCTAGGGTGGGATTGGCTTTGGTGCTGGAACTTGATATATTTTCTTAACTTTTTTCAGGCATAGAGAAGGAAATTGGAGCTCTGCAGCTAGAAGTCTGTCAAAAATTCTAGTAGGTATGCCTTTTAAAGATTGCTGCTGTGTGATCTAATCTGATTTATATTGATGGCAGGAAAAGAAGCTTGTTGCTGAAATAAAAAGAACTGCTAAAACTGGAAATGAGGTACCCTTTGTATCTTGATTTAATTTCATTCTTGTCAATCCAGAGGGTCTTCAGCTTTTGTGTGGCATTTGACGTGGTATCCGTTAGTCAAATTCATTTCTGGTGTCCTTTGAACCTGATATACCTTGTGGTATCCTCTTTTCTTTCTTTTTATTATGCACTCTGCAGGCTGCAACTAAAGTTCTAGCCCGACAGTTGGTCAGGCTTAGGCAGCAAATAGCCAAATTGCAAGGTAGTCGGGCCCAAATGAGAGGCATAGCAACTCATACACAGGTACCTCTTTTCTTCTCTTCTGGTTAATATGTTTTGGTTTATTTTTATGAGTTCCTTAAGTGTGCATTTGCATTATGATTTTACTCATTTTTTCCCTTTTGTAGGCAATGCATGCACAGTCTTCTGTTGCTGTTGGCATGCAAGGAGCCAGTAAGGCTATGGCAGCAATGAATAAGGTCAGTAACATGCTAATTTTCCTTTTCTCTACACATTATATAGCATTTCCCTCTGTAACCAATTTGTGTTTCTCCTGCTTTATAAGGAAAAGGTTGCTTTTGCTTCCTTTAGATGGGACCTTCCTTGACTATTAATATATGTTTGCAGCAAATGAACCCTACAAAGCAAGCAACGGTTATCCGTGAATTTCAGAAACAGTCATTACAGATGGACATGACTGTAAGATCACAAGCTTGTTCATAAGAATATCTTAATGTGTAAAGATGTTAATTTTATTCTTGAGGTGCATGTCTCTGTAACTTAACAGTCTGGTTCCCATTCTTCCAGAGTGATATGATATCTGATGCAATTGATGATGCCTTGGATAATGATGAGGCTGAAGAAGAGACTGAAGAGCTAACTAATCAGGTAGGTGTTGCCGTCCCCTGCCCTCTCTTCCTTTTCTTTCATCTTATTCTTTGTTTTTCCCTGTTCGACTGTATCATGTTTGGATATGCGTGCCTTCTCTTTTCTTCTTCATTTCTGTTTCTTTTCTTCTTATTTTCATTTTCTGTCCCTTTTCTTTGCTACAAAAGTGAATTCTCATTTTAATTCAGCGGCATACAGTCACTCACCATGTGTACCAATTTACTTAATATCTTCACAATCTGAAGAGTCCCCCTTATCAAGGGACAAAAGGGTATGGATTAGGCAGAGAAGATAAATTGTAAAAGCTTGAGAAGCAAGGAATGATTTTAGTTGCCTTCTATATGGTTTGCGATTTGTTTAGTGTCATGCAATAGTAGGATATATTGTTCTATCAACTGTTCTACTCCAAAATGAACTGATGGCAATATACTTTAAATTTTGGCAGGTTCTTGATGAAATTGGTGTTGATGTTGCCTCACAGGTTAGTAATAGTTCACATTTTTCCTTTCATTTTTGGATTTATTTTTCTTAAAGTTTGAAGTTTGTTCTTCATGCTGAACTCTTTGCTCAATGTGTTGTGC